CACACACACACACACACACACACAAGCAAAACCACACAGACGTCCGCCGCATGCAAAACAAACGCAGATACACATCTCTTACACACACAAAACACACGAGCACACACAAAAAATGACATCCTTACTTATCTGGCTACGATATCATCTCAAGTTAAAGTGGTTTACATAATTAGAGCAACGAGACATTCCAAAAGTGAATACACACGCATGTGCTAACGTGTGACCCTAGATCGGCCTGGATTCTTGGCTGTGTTTACCGTATACCTAATGTACAGAGATCCTTGTGTAACGTAGCCTACTTGTAGAACGTGTGTAAATGTTCTGTTGGTGAGTCTGATGTATAGAAGGGTAAATAAATGTTGTTTAGAGATTTAACTTCATATTATATTTTATCTCTTCGCTTTTTCTTCTCTCTTCTATCATGTCTTTTATATGTCTATCTATTTACCTATATGTTTATTCATGTGTTATGTATACACGAACAATGACACAACGACTTTCGTGCAACAACAAAATTGTACTATACATAAATTACCTAGTCTTTTCAAATAATCACACACACACACACTCAAACACTCTCTCTTTCCATCTCTCTCTCTCTCTCTCTCTCTCTCTCTCTCTCTCTCTCTCTCTCTCTCTCTCTCTCTCTCTCTCTCTCTCTCTCTCTCTCTCTCTCTCTCTCTCACTCTCTCACACACACACACACACGACAAAGAGAGGACGCGCACACAACGGAAGCTCCCGCCACTACCTTGACCAAGCCCTGACGGAAGAAGACAGGAGCAGGATTTGTGTTAGAGGGTGTTCGAGACTTCTGGCGGCGGCGCACACTCCTGCCCGGCCCTTGGAGACTCTGGGAAGGTCAATGCCGTGGCCTGGTTATGGGCGTGGCTTCAGATCGAAAGGCGGAGGCAGCGTGGGGGGGGGGGAGGTTGGGTTGGGGGATAGCGTGGAGGTTGAAAAAGGGGGTGTTGGGGGGGGAGGTTGGGTTGGGTGGGATAACGTGGAGGTTGAAAAAGGGTTGTTGGTGTTGGGTCGGGAGGCTGGGAAGCATATGGTGGGGTTGTAGGGAAAAAAGGGAAGGCGTCGGGATAGGGAAGGATTCTCTTGTATTTGTGGGAGGGTTTTGGGTCGTATGGGGGAGCGAAGCGCGTGATCAGAGATGGTACCATGGTGAGGTTATAATGTGTTCTCGATAGGATTAGGCTGCAGTGATGGAGGGTGAGTGTTTGACGATCGCCCACGGAGACGACAGGACCTCCACGAAGGAGGATTGAAAAGAGACAGCGTTAATCCTCGAAGTGTTGCATAAAAAAGCTTTCTTTAGTGCAGAATTTCAAGAATTGCAGATAAGATGCATAGGAAGATCATCGCAAGAGTGCAGCTGGCATTTAGATGAAGGGTGCCTAAGCGATAGACAAAATACTGCAGAATTTATAGAAGTGAGAAGAACGTAGGAAAGGCCAGTGTTTACGAAAGCTTAAGGTCTCCGCATGCGAACGAAAGAAACGCGAAGAATAATCCAGAAACGTAAGAATGCGAAGATCGAGCTTGCAAAGAGAGCATAGAGTTCGTGCAAGAATCAGAACTTGCCAAAAGATATAAGGGCGATAGAGAGTTTTTTTTATTTAAAGGGAAGAGCATGCCAAAAGATCCGTTAGAGCCAATAGAAACAGAGACTTTGCGAAAGACAGAGAGCGTTATGATAAAGTTACAAAGAGAGAGAGAGAGAGAAAAAAGGAAAACATCACTCGCATTATGAAGATGAAGTACCAAAAATGAACCCATGAGAGAATGAAAACAAAAGGTTAGAACTCTAGTCGTGTTCAGAGGTGTGTCTCTGCTTATCACAGGATTTAAGATAACAACCAATCTTGCAGTGATTTTAGACTGATTAGATAAAAGCAATTTAACTGAACACCACTATGATGTAGCTGTCCTAGCACTACACTGAGTACATGTAAATTACAGTTAACATTACTGGCTAGCTTATGGAAATTGATAGGTTATTGAAAAACAAATGCGTTAAGATGCCTGTTACACTAAAAATTTTGAAGAGAGAAAAATAGTCACTTGCCGAATGTTAAAAAGGTAGAATCAACCCTACTTGGTTGTTAAATAAAAGGGATTTTTGCACCAATAGCAACTTCATTAAAAGGCATAGCAAGAAAAACTAAAAAAAAAAAAAAAAAAAAAAAAAAAAAAAAAATACAGGAAAAAAAAAATCAAGAGATAGCGTAAATACTAAAATAAACGAAACCAAATCTTCAAGAAAAAACAGAGAAAGAGAGAGAGAAAAAAAATAAAAGGAAATCTACGTGTTCTCTCCCGCCATACCTTGACGCGCGACCTCCTCCTCAGGACCTGGCTCCGAGCGGCCTGACGGATGACCTCGGCGTCGGATTCCTCGCTCCCGTCCAGTTCGTTGCCGTGGTTCCTGGAGGAGAGTTTGCCTGAGGAATACCGGCGTCGCTCCTTAGGCACCCACATACTCGATATTCTGAAGGTTCAAGCGGACAGGCAGCGCGAAGATCAGTAAGGGACGTCAAAGCTCGGGTTATAAAAGGGAGATGATAGCGTCGACCAAGAGGTGTTTCTTTTTTTTCTCTGATTCTTTTTTTTTATTTTTTTTTTTTTTTTTTTTGGTTTTCGGTCTTGTATTAAAGCAAAAAAATGGGGGGGGAGGGGTTATTGTGACTTTCCTGACAGCCCCAGGATGTCAATCACGGAGTTAATGGCACTCCAGAAGGCTCTCAATGGACTCTGAAGGTCAAAAAAGCTCTCTAAGGAATCGAAAGAAATCATTTTGGAAAGGAATTCTACGGGGAAAATAGAGAAGCATGCACTACTACGTTCACTTGGTCTCTTGGTTTGGGTATCACAGTATCAAGGGTTTGGGTCTGCGAATCCACATTTTGAGAGAGGAAACATTTTCTGTTATAACACGAGTAAACAGTATTAGAAAATTAAAAAAAAATACGTCAGATAGTATCAACATAAATATATCCTCTCAAAAAAATAGTTATTCTAAATACAAAACATCACTACTTTGTTAATACACTACAAAAAGAAAACACATAAGAAACACAGTAAATTAGTTTAAAAAAACACACACTACTTCTAAAAAAAACAGTAAATTAGGTTAAAAAACACACTACTTAAATAGCTTACATAGAAAAAAAGAGTTAATACTATGTACATACAGTATATACAAACCAACCAATAACAGGGACTTTCTTATTACTATCAGTCCTTATCATAACCAGTTTTGCTCGCAGAAGAGTTGTACCTTGGACTCTGCATGCGTCACAGACACTCTCCTTTGGTGTTGTTTGTCAGTCCTTCCGAGTCCTTGCTTTGTTTGTCTTTTGTGTTTGTTTATGTGTTTGACTTTACGACTTTTATCTGTCTATCTGTTTATAGACAGATAGATGGATGGATAGATAGACAGATAGATAGATAGATAGATAGAGATAGATAGATAGATTAGATAGAGGTAGATAGGTTTGCAGATAGATAGATAGATAGATAGATAAGTATATAGATAAGCAGATAGATAGATAGATAGATAGATAAGTAGATAGGATAGATAATAGATAGATTAGATACAGAGAAGAGAGAGAGAGAGAGAGAAGAGAGAGAGAGAGGAGAGAGATAGGAGAGAAGAGAGAGAGAGAAGAGGAGAGAGAGAGAGAGAGAGAGAGAAGAGAAAGGGAAGTAGGAGAACGAAAGAGAGAAGAATGAACACACGCAGAGAGCACGAAGGAACAACCGCCATGAATAAGAGAAACAAGAACCATAACAAGGGCCATTTATACCTCTCGTTGAGAACCCGGAGTGATTAACGACCTGGGTGATAAAAGGTTCTAAGAATAAGGTATATATATCAGCTCGCTTATCTCGGAGGGGGGAGGAGGGAGAGGAGGAGGGGGTGGTGAGGGTGGGGGAGTGGAAAGGGGTAGGGAGAGGGGGGAGGTGAGAAGAGGGGATGGAGGACGGGGAAGGTGAGAATGGGGTGGGGGATGGGGGTGAGAAGGGGTGGGGAATGGGGGAGATGAGAAGGGGTGGGAGGATGGGGGAGGAGAGAAAGGGTTGGGGGGATGGGGAGGAGAGTGAGAAGGGGTGGTTGGATGTGTGTTAACAAGCAAGACGATGTTTTAGCACTGAGATGATATCGGGAGTCAAGACATTCTGTTATCGGCTTTAAAGTAAGACATCAAACTGTGTAGGTGGATTTTTTTTCTCTCTCTCGGTCAGCTGATGAGCAGATGGTTGTGGAAAATCGTTTTTTTTTTTTTTTTTGTGTGATGTTCAGTTCTTTCATTTATCGTTCTTGTGGTTGATGTTTAATGGCCATGATGTGGAATATTATGATGTTATTTGTCTTACATATATATTCTGAATTGAGTAGTTGTATACATGTGAATACTGTGCGTTTTTTCCGCGTGTGTATGTGTAAAAATTAAGGCCAGTGCTTTTAATTCAGTTCATTTTGGAAAAAAAAAAGAAAAACAAATAAAAGCAAAATTCACTCTTCAACGGCGCTAATGAGACTCATTAAAGACAAGAAGTTAGATAATACCTTTGATTACGGTCGTAAAATGAGTTTGATATCATAACACGTTTCATTAGACCGATAAACAACACCGGTTTTCGTTTTTTTCTTTATGGACCAAAACTACCTTGAGATATAATTTATTGTTGTCATTCCTATTTATTGTGTTTGTTTCTATATTTTGTTCTGTTTCTATTCATTGTTGTCTGTTCCTATAATTTATTTTGTCTATTTTTAATTTATTGTTCTGTCTTCATTGCGTCTATTCCTATAAATTTATTGTTGTCTATTTCCATTTTTGTCTATTTCCTATATTTATTGTCTGTTTCCTATAATTTATTGTTGTCTGTTTCCTATAATTTATTGTTGTCTATTTCCTATAATTTATTGTTGTCTATTTCTACATTTATTGTTGCCTGTTTCTATAATATTGTTGTGTTTCTATAATTTATTGATGTCTATTTCCTATAATTTATTGTTATTTCCTATAATTTATTGTTGTCTGTTTTCCATAATTTATTGCTGTCTATTTCCTATAATTTATTGTTATTTCCTATAATTTATTGATATTTCCTATAATTTATTGTTATTTCCTATAATTTATTGTTATTTCCTATAATTTATTGTTATTTCCTATAATTTATTGTTATTTCTCTAATTATTGTTTATTTCTATAATTTATTGTTATTTCCTATAATCTATTATTTCCTATAATTTATTGTTGTCTGTTTCCTATAATGTATCGTTGTCTAATTCCTTTGTGATGCACCTCAGGATACTGGATATAATCAACATGAAATGAACTTTACGTATATAGATGCCTCGAAATCATGTATATTAGACCTTTTTATTCCTTTTCTTAAGGTCAGTGTGACCAATTTCTCCTGTCAAGTGAATGTTTAATCACCATATATCAAACCCTACACACATAAAGTCTTGAAACATAATGTTCATATTTTTAGAACATTAATTAGAACCTCACGCACCATGTCCATGAACTTCCATGAATAAGCTATTGCAAGATCTCATCTCTTTGGTACATCACGCGTTCAATTTGATGTATTTGGCGTTGATAACGAGAGGGTGAATTTAATGCAGGTTTTAGTTATTACTCTCATTTCAGCGACGATATATGGTATAGGAAAGCGGGAAGGATTTGGTGTGTAAACCGAGAGAAGAGGAAAGGTAGGAGGAGAGAAGGAGAGGAAAGGAAATGAGAGCGAAGAGAGAGAGAGAGAGAGAGAGAGAGAGAGAGGAGAGAGAGGAGAGAGAGGAGAGAGAGAGAGAGAGAGAGAGAGAGAGAGAGAGAGAGAGCGAGAGAGAGATGAATAAATGGGACTGATTGATAGATAGAACGAATAGAGAAGAGAAAAAGAAAAAAGAAAAAAAGAAGAGAGAAGGAAAAAATTATCGATAAATATGGGAAGATAGATAACTGACAGAGAGAGATAAACAGAAAGAGAAGATGAAGATGATATGAAGAAGAGAGAAGAAGAGAAGGAAGAAGAAGAAGAAGAAGAAGAAGAAGAAGAGAAGAAGAAGAAGAAGAAGAAGAAGAAGAAAGAAGAGAAGAGAAAAGAAGAGAGAGAAGAGAAGGAAAGGAAAAAGAAGAAGTAGAAGAGAGAAGAGAGAAGAAGAAAAAGAAGAAAGAAAAAGAAGAAGAAAAGAAGAAGAAGAAGAAGGAAGAAGAAGAAGAAGTAAGAGAAGATAAAAGAAGGAAAAGAAGAGGAAAAAGAACAAAATAAAACGCGCGACAAACAGGATTTCGTGCCCTAACGAGAGACATCAAATAGCTATTCGTTATAAAGCTTTCCTGGCAACCTGACAACCGGATTTCTTGCTTCGATTTAATTTCCCTCCAGTTTAGATCCTTGTTAATCAATTGAGGAAATGAATAGAACCTTTTTTGAAATTTTAAAACTCATTTTCTTATTATGGCGTCTGCTTGCATTATTTTTTTTTATGTTTTGCTCCATCCGTTTATTTTCTCGTTTTATTTCTTCTCTTACATTCCCTTCCCGTTTTTTTTCTTTCCTCGGTTTCTTTTCTTTCCCTTCCCCTCCTCTTTTATTTTTTCTTTTCCCTTTTTTTTCGTTTTTATCCTTCTTTTCTCCTGTTCTCTTCCTATCCTCTACTTTGTTTTTTATCTCCCTTCCCTTCTTCCTTTTCATTTCCTTCCTTTCCCCTCTCTCTTCACACCCTCGCTGCACCTTCCCTCCCTCCTCTTCGGCCCCTTTCCTCTCCCTTCCTACACCACCCTTCCATCTCCTCTCTCTCCTTCCCTTTCCCCTCTTTTCTCCTTCAATCCCTCCCTCTCACCCTTCAATTTTTCCTTCGCTCACCCCACCCCCTCCCCGAAACCTCTCTCCTCCCCCTCCCCCCCACCCCAACCCCTCTCCCGCCCCTCCTGACTCGCATGTGACGCTCCCCTTGATGCGAAATTCCCCAGTTCAAATTTCCCGCGTCGTGAAACCCAATCCCGGCTGCAAGTGACGATCATTAAGCCTTAATGACATCCAATTGCGTTAATTTCACACCAGGAACGACCGAGACGACCGCCGCCGCCACCCACAACGCATACACCCACGCGTATGCACGCCCGCTCGTACACACACGAGGAAATGTCCACATAAGATCGTGCATGTATCCATAACCGACAGCAGATAGCACATACAGACAGACACACACACATACAAATACAAAATAGAGACAGACACACACACCACATACAAATACGCACAGAGACGGACACACACAACACACAGACAGACAGACAGCACAGCACACACACAATGAACACAGATCAGAGACAGCACCACACATTCACACACACACATCTGCATAGTACACACACTATGCTCGCCTATTTACGCTTACACACAAAAGATACAAACACCCTCAAATACATCTACGCCCACACACCAACACGCCCACCTTCCCACCCC